TAGTTTGAAAACATTAAATGATTTGTTCATTTTCAATATTATCAAAAATCTCTCTATATAATTTAGCTATTCAAACAAGAAGGAGTAGAGATGGAAGAATAAGTTTTTCTTTTTTTCTAATTTCACTCTTCTACACTTTAAAATATGTTAGAGGTAGAGAGAAACCTGAAAACATGAAAATAATTGAAAAAAATAAAAATAAAATAGAAAAAAAAATATAAAATATCTAAAAAGATATAAAATATCCAAAAAGAGATTAATAACAACTTATGATTTTTTTTTACTTAAAATACATACATTATTAATTTATAAATTTTTTATCTTTATTTAAAATTTAAATGCATAACAATTTTTTATTTTTTCTAAAACATATAATTTATTGTTAATTTTTATAATATATTAAAATATTTTTTTTTAAATCCTCCTCCTAACACAAAAGATAATTACAACAAGACTCAATTCAGTTTTAATTTTGTAATTTTTAAATTTTTAATTTTTTTTTTCTAGTTTTAGATTTTAAATAAAGTTAATATAATATTATATATATTATTATAAAATAAAAAAACTGAAAAGTTAGTGGGGGCAACTGCCCCCACAATGCAATATGTGCGTCCGTCACTGGAGACGATGACGCATTCAACACCTTTTCATGACAATTAAATAATTATTTTAGGTTAAATAATATATAATTTCATTATAACAATTAAAAGGAATTGACTATACTTCAAATAAGAAAATGAAAGTGGTTTAACTAAAATAAGGTTGTTAAGGACAAAAGCATCCAACAAATGCTTTTATAATCAACAAAAATCCACCAACAAATAGAAATAGTTTAATATCAATTAGTATTATTCATTTAGAAGTAATTTAAATTAATTAATTAATTAATAGACTAAAGAATTGAAATATAAAAGAATAATAATTACAATATTACTAAATTTTAATATAAATATATATATTAAAATATCTATAAATATATATTGTACGTGATGAAGAAATGGTCATTGTGGTTTTTGCTTTAACGAAAAAGATGGTTGAAATTGGTGCAGTCATTGTGCGTATGTGATGGAGGTGTAGCTATTGGTTTTCACTTTAATAGAGAATGATGACTATGAAACAACATAAGGGGTGAGTCATCGTAAATGGAGAAGAACGATGACTATAGAGCTCTTTAATCCAAATATTTAGGATTTGTAGATATGGAGATATAGGCTTTGTGGATATGAAGATATATATTAAAATAAGAGAAACATTAATTATAGAATAACATATAAATAAGAGAGATAATATAGAATTAATGACACGTAAGCATTTTTACTGACATGACAATATTTTAGAGGTATTTTAAGTTGACGTGTCAATATAATACAAAATAACTCGACTTTTATATTATAAATAGATAAATATATTAAGGAACCCAATTAATTCTATATAAATATATTTATTTAGAAATTTTCATTTTTTTTGCTACAAAACTATTTTTATCACTAGTGAAAAATCAGTCTTTTATGTTAGTGTTTTCTCGTCGGTCATAAAAATATCCAACGTAAAAAATACGTGGTGGCATTTTTGAAATTAATTCAAACTTTTTTACGTCGGACCAAAGGAGGTCTAACGTAAAAAAATTAAAATCTATGTCATATATGGAGTATAGTCCGACGTAGATTTCAATTTTTACGTCGAACCCCTTTTGGCCCGACGTAAAAGAGTTATTTTATACTTTTGTTCCCCCTCGGCACCTTTGTCTTCTTCGTGCGCGCAAGTATTTTTACATTATTTTTCTCTCCAACAATTTTCGACGACGGTGATATGAGACCTTTAGGCATCTTCCAGTCACGGTAAGCAGCAATAATAGTGGCGGCGAGACCCATTTTTGATTCTAAACCTATCTCTCCGATTGGGTTAAAGCATTTAAGTACTTTCACGGATTAAGGTTAGTGTTTTTCATACATGTGTTGATCTTTCTATGTAAAAATGTTGTTTTATTCCTGTGTGAGTGTTTTGATATTGTTTTCCTCTCCAGCGGTTTTTGGTGACAACAATGCGAGACCTTTGGGCGTTTTTTGTTCACGATGCGCAGCGACAAGACCCATTTTTTATTCTGAACCTATCTCTCCGATTGGATTGAAGCATTTGGGTATTTTTCGGACGTGTTCATGGATTGAGGTTATTTTTTTTGTTTGTTTGTCAACCATTTTATGTCGGACGTGAAGGATGTCCGACGTAATTTTACGTCAGCTAAAACACTCGATGTAAATTATTCCAAAATAACAGACGTAAAATGTCTTCAACAATTAAGTGTATTCTTTGATTTCCTTTAAAGTTGCCAATTAGTAGCTTTTTTTTATCCCTTTCGAGAACTAAAAATTGATACCACCTTATGAAACTATCAATAGTTTATAAATTATTCCAAAATTTCTCATTTTGTACACTTAAACCTCAAAACGTTAAAATTGATCTCTCTGCTGGTTCTGTATAAAATACAGCACGGATGCAATAGATTAGAAAGACAAATTCTTCCTATTATATTTAGGTATCTATGCTATGCCATATATATATATTTATAGCATGAAAATTGCATTTGAATTTAATACTTTGTTTCTATATTTTTTTTTTCAATGCTGGTAAATGTAGCATTTTATTTTACATTAACAAAGTTAGTGTTCCCTTCCGGTATTATATGAATAATTATGAAAGTTGTGCATGTTGTTTGAAGTTGATTACTTCTTATATTTCATCATATGATATTTTTTTTCACAAATTTATTCTTACTTTTTCATTTGTTAAACTGTTATGATCATATTTATTATGCGAGCAAGTCAAGATTAAGCTGGAGGATGTATTTTGTTAATGACCATGTTGAAAATGACACCTTTGTTTTGTTGAATTGTTTTGATACTACATGTACATAAAGACGTTTGATTGACGTGAAATTTTTGGTTTTTAGTACTTATTTCTTTGATACATGATCAGAGACACTTGATCAATGCGAGATTTTATATTTTCAATACTTATTTATTTTATGTATATGTATATATTTATATGATTTGTTGTAATCTCATAAGGATCCTTGTGTAAAAGCTTAGGGATGCATGAACTTGGGGATAACCAAGTTTGGGAGCCCCAATTTCGTCCACTTGTATGTATGGGGTGTAACTTAGTCAAAACTACTATCTTGATGTTCCCTAGTGTGTCTCCTCCTAGTGTTCTCTTAGGCTACTCCTTGTGTGCCATCGAGTAAGGGTTGAGGCGTTTTACTCATATCACATGCATATAGTATAATGAAGTCCATGTGCATTAACTAATGTGAACATAATGTTCACTACAAGAATGTTTCAATTTAGAGTTGGCCAAAAACCGACTCTAAATCATAAAAGCCGACGCAATATTGTCGGTTATTCGTCGGTTTTTGGCCGACGCTAAATAAGTCGACACAATTTTTTTTGTGTCGGCTAAGCTCTCACTAACAAATTTATTTATTTTAATTTTTTATTGTCGGTTAAGCCGACACTATGTTGACACAAATTTTATTTTATTTTTTTCTTTATCTTTTTTTTAACGCTTATCATTTATTCGTTCGTATTTTTAACATTCCTGGGACTCGATCCCTGAACCTTGAGGTCTTAAGTGAACTTGATAACCAAGTGTACTAGAACACATTATGCGTATATAACATTGGAAAAATTATTTTTATCTCTCTGAAAGCACGTATATTATTTAAATATAGTGTCGACTTTTCCGACGCTAAACTTAAAATAAATTTAATTTAAATTTATTTTAAGTTTAGCGTCGGAAAAGCCGACGCTAT